TTAAGAACTATTGTTAAGTAATTTCTTGAAACTATGTGACATCTATAAGCTTTATGATTCATAGCAATTTGCTTTTAATTTGCACACGAGTATGTAACCGTAGGCGTTTTGTTCAATATAGTTAATGTAGAGTTATTTTAATGAATCTTAAAATAATAAGGTGTTTTTTTAAGACAAGACATTTGATTTCGATTAGATAAAACTGCATAGCTCTTATGATTTTGTAAGTAACTTAAAGACTTAATGAGCGTTTTTTTGAATTATAACTATCAAGAATACTACTTTGCCTGGCATCCCAGAAAATTCTCTATACTGAATAAGCAACAAAATATTAGCAAACGTCTTTCTTATGAAATAGCCATCTTTATTTTATTTCGGTTACAAATTAAAGTTTTAACAACCTGTTTTCTTTCTCTATAATTAAATTTGGTGTTTGTGTCTGTGACCACGAAAAGGTTTAGGTGCCGATTTAATCCTCCATGTCCTTCTTATTATTTCATTTCATTACTTCGCAAAATAATCATGACTATTCCTGTCCCTTTTTTCATCGGTTTGTGTATTCAAAAATTATATTTAAACCCTCCATTTGGCCGTAAAACTGATTTGAGTTTGCCGACGGTCAAAAGGACCCTTTGTCCCTTCCAAGGGTTAGTTTGGGGATTATTGGTCCCAGTCTTACCTGGGGTTGAAAAAATGTGAAAGTACTGAAGGTAAACCCTGCTCGGGGTAGATTGGACACGACTGTTTCATTTTTCTGTTAAAAGGGTTGGTTTTAAAATATTCATTATTTTGTGTGACCGTCGCAAGGTTGTAAAAATAATTACTTTTTTATTTATTTATTGTCTCCGGTAATAATTAGAAGCCTTGCTTTGCGAAACAAAAACTCTCAAAGTAAAACGAAGTTCTAACTATTCACATAAGCGCAGATCAAGAATATTATTGGCTGAATTTCTTTACTTGAACCAGTCAAGCTTAAGTCTATTCTTGAGTATAGATTCGTACTTGAGTATCGTTTTATATTACGCGCGCACAAAAGACATCAACGCGCTGATGCTTGCGCGCGCGCATTTGATGCGTTTAAATACAAATTACTACACTAATTATGTATTATTTAAAATAAAAACTATTCTTCTTAGATTGTATTAATATGTGTCAAGCGAAGCTAGCAATACAATAGCTCTCAATATTAAATAAGCTATATTCTATTCCTACTCAAGCGTACATCAGATGCATTATTAGCAGAATTCCTGCAATCTGAATCAGTCAAGCATGATTCTGTTCTTGAGTGCAGATTCATACTTGAGTACGGTTTTATATTACGGTGCTAGGCATCCGCCGGCGCGCACAAAAGACATCAACGCGCTGAAGCTTGCGCACGCGCACGCGATGCGTTTCTCCGTCTACAGTTATGCATTAACACATTTAACTATAATATTGCTGGTAAAAGACAATGCCGGAAATTGGCGTCTTTTTTTTTTCGCGCGGCCACCGACCAAACCATGTTTTTTGGATACAAAATAGTGTAATAAACCAAACTTCCTATGACATGTATACCTCTAAACTCAGTCTGAACTGAGTTACGAGCATTAGAAGTTTGATGATTTACATACTAAATTTGCTTTTTGCGCGCAAGTTTTGTAAGAAATTGCAACAAAATAGTGACATTGTATGTGTAAACAAACAATACCATCCATTAAAGGCTCCAGACATTCAGTGTGGAGTAGAATCAGCGCAATAAGAAAATATCGCAATATTTTGTTGCAATTTCTTACAAAACTTGCGCGCAAAAAGCAAATCTAGTATGTAAATCATCAAACTTCTAATGCTCGTAACTCAGTTCAGACTGAGTTTAGAAGTATACATGCCATAGTAAGTTTGGTTTATTACACTATTTTGTAATAAAAAAACAGAGTTTGTTCGATGGCCGCGCGAAAAAAAAAGACGCCACCTTCCATACAAAATCTGGCATTGCCATTTGTTTACACCTAACCCGTTGTTCTAAGTCAGTCTTTCCCAAAGTGGGCGATAACGCCCCCTTGTGGGCGCTGCAGGCTTAAAGAGGGGCGGTAAGAGACCCAGAAAAAAATCGGGACGTTGTGTAGAGGCTTGGGAGGCGTCATCTACTAGGAGGATTCTTAGACACCGACTGAGCCGCTAAAAATAATTTATCCCAAAGTGGGCAGTAGACTAAATAAGTTTGGGAACCGCTGTTCTAAGTAAACGACGCAACGCGATGGGACGCGACGCGACAGTATCAAGTAGTGGTTGTATAGTGTCCTATGTAGTCGTGTTTGACAGACGTATTGAGCTATTACTGCTAAATGGCAATGCCAGATTTTGTATGGAAGGTGGCGTCTTTTTTTTTTCGCGCGGCCATCGACCAAACTTTGTTTTTTGATTACAAAATAGTGTAATAAACCAAACTTACTATGGCATGTATACCTCTAAACTCAGTCTGAACTGAGTTACGAGCATTAGAAGTTTGATGATTTTCATACTAGATTTGCTTTTTGCGCGCAAGTTTTGTAAGAAATTGCAACAAAATATTGTTTGTTTACATACAAACATTGACATACCTACATTTCGTACATATCAATACATTTCGCGTCATACAGCTTAAAGTATGTCAATTAACCAGTGGTGTCATCTGCCCCATTGACGTTAAGAAGATAGGAAAAAACTGCTTTATATTAATTAAAATATTTTCATCCCAACACGATCTGTGGACAGTGATCAAATTAATATTCCGCCGCGACCCGCCCAGTGGGGCGGGCGGGAATTCGTGATGAGCTCACGACTTCGATCAAATGGCAATGCCAGATTTTGTATGGAAGGTGGCGTCTTTTTTTTTTCGCGCGGCCATCGACCAAACTTTGTTTTTTGATTACAAAATAGTGTAATAAACCAAACTTACTATGGCATGTATACCTCTAAACTCAGTCTGAACTGAGTTACGAGCATTAGAAGTTTGATGATTTTCATACTAGATTTGCTTTTTGCGCGCAAGTTTTGTAAGAAATTGCAACAAAATATTGCGCTATTTTTTTATTGCGCTGATTCTGCTGCATACTGATGTCTGGAGCCTTTAATGGATGGTATTGTTTGTTTACACATATAATGTCACTATTTTGTTGCAATTTCTTACAAAACTTGCGCGCAAAAAGCAAATCTAGTATGAAAATCATCAAACTTCTAATGCTCGTAACTCGGTTCAGACTGAGTTTAGAGGTACATGTAATAGTAAGTTTGGTTTATTACACTATTTAATAATCAAAAAATAAGGTTTGGTCGATGGCCGCGCGAAAAAAAAAAGACGCCAATTTCCGGCATTGTCTTTTGTTTACACCTAACCAATTGTTCTAAGTAAACGACGCGACGCGTTGCGACTCGGCGCGACCATATCAAGTAGTCGTATAGTGTCCTATGTAGTCGTGTTTGACACACGCATTGATCTATAGCTGGTAAATTTGTTTACACCTAACCCGTTGTTCTAAGTAAACGACGCGACGCGATGCGACGCGACGCGACAGTATCAAGTAGTCGTTGTGTAGTGTCCTTTGTAGTTGTGTTTGACACACGCATTGATCTATTGCTGCTAAATTTGTTTACACCTAACCCGTTGTTCTAAGTAAACGACGCGACGCGATGAGATGCGATGGGACGCGACGCGACAGTATCAAGTAGTCGTTGTATAGTGTCTTTTGTAGTCGTGTTTGACAGACGCATTGATCTATTGCTGCTAAATTTGTTTACACCTAACCCGTTGTTCTAAGTAGCGACATGCGACGCGTTGCGACGCGCCGCGACAGTATCAAGTAGTGGTTGTATAGTGTCCTATGTAGTCGTGTTTGACACACGCATTGATCTATAGCTGCTAAATTTGTTTACACCTAACCCGTTGTTCTAAGTAAACGACGCGACGCGATGCGACGCGACGCGACAGTATCAAGTAGTTGTATAGTGTCCTTTGTAGTTGTGTTTGACACATGTCACTTGAAGTCATTGCTTGAAGTATTGATCGCGTTACGTCTCGTCGCATCGCTTCATGCCGTTTTCCATTGCTCACTTATGATAAGGGGTAACACCCATAATACCCATATTCACAAACGACACTTGCTTAAGTGAAGCAACAAATCGAACGCACAGCATGGAATAGAGCTTTGTGAATGGTTTGTGTGTCACCCTGTGCGTCCACGCGCACTGTGAGACCTCATTGTAATGTTTGTGAATAAGACTCTCTGCAGATTGCAGACTTTTATCAGCCGACTTGCGGCCGCCCGCGACTTCGTACGCGTGGATCCCATTTTACCCCCTTAGGGGTGGAGTTTCGTAAAATCTTTTCTTAGCGGGTGCCTACGTCATAACATCTACCTGCATGCCGAATTTTGGCCCGATCCGTCCAGTGGATTGGGCTGTGCGTTGATATATCACTATGTCAGTCAGTCAGTCACCTTTGAGTTATATATATTTAGATAGTTTAATCAGGATGTTAAAGTGCTCTTTGAAAGCCTTGCAATTTAAACCGAATTGATAACGTGTAGTCTATTGATACAATTAAAGTCTGTATTCTGTGGTGACTCTTAACATGAATATTATTGAATATGCCTTTGTTTTCAATGGAACCGCCAATCCATTAGTTTTAGCTTTATTAGCGTCAACAGCTAGTAATCTTGGACTTGACAGTTGAGTCTTCTTAAACAAATGATCGTTTTGGTCGTAAAAAATAATTAAACAGATTTTAACGTACTTGTAGAGAAAGATTAATTTTTGAAGTATGATTATGCTTTTGATTGTCTTTAAAGCTATAAAAGTAAAGTTTAAACTTGTACTGTATAGTTAGCTACACGAGTAAGTGCGTAGATTATGTATAAATTACTTAGATTAAATCATTACCTAGTATAATAGTCACAGTATACCTATTAATGATTTTAATAAATCGATACAGGAATCGGTAAATAATCCGGTATTATATATCTAGCTACAAGTGTAAGGTTACTTACGGTCATCTAATTCTTCTTCATAATCTGAGAAGTATCTTTCTTCTTTCAGCGCTTGGTCCGGCTGCTGGTAGAACCTTTCTGATTTTATATACATTTTCAAGTACATCACATCAAGTTTTGAGTCACGAATGTTTACACCAACACACTTGAAAGGTACACTTTCAATTTGAGCTTTTTAAATCCCAGTTAGGTCACAAAAAAAAAAATACAAAGTTCACACTGATTAAAAAATCACGACAGTCACTTGTTTTATCGATGTGGTCAAACTCGCTCGCATCGAGCACTCGTTTCGATCGAGTCAAGTCTCGCAGGTGCAAGCGTGCGCGCGTCTCGGCCGGCGAACGTTTGCGCACTGCCCCGACCCGCTCGGACCTTTGACAAAAAAACCTGACAAGTGCAGTCCGGGGTTGCGCCCGCACTGTTCCGTACAGTGTGCTTACCATGAGTTTACGTTAGGTGTGCTCGCTAGCGACGGCGTAAAAAAATGACATTTAAATGTATGACATATTGTGCAGCGCCTCTAGCGGCTACTTTCAAGAAACAAAATCTTCATAGAGATTTTTGACGTATTCGCTAGCGAGCACACCTAACGTAAACTCATGGTAGGCACACAGCACATCACACTACACACTACACATTCTTGTCTTAAATCGCCTTTATTACAACTACATAAGATGCTCAGCTTTATGCTTAGTTTCTGTCTGTACAGTTCAGAAAAACTGGTCTTTGTTTCTTCGTAAGCTCAAGTCCGCAGTTCTCTACATTGAAAATAAACCCGCTCCCGTAAGCTGTCAAACCTTTTACTCGAACTCGTTTTGCTCTCGTTAAATCGTGAATTAACACTTTTTAAAATAAAACGGAAAAGATTCGGAACTGTTACGATGATATTTTTCTGATACTGAGAGAAAGGGTTTCGATATAAAACTCCAAGGGCACTTCGTTCACTGTGACGAAAATTCGCTGGATGATTTCCAGATCGATATGGATAAGTAGTTTTAATATTTATATTTACGGTTAGTCTTATAATAATTAATTAAAAAAAAATACAAAGCACAATGTCCATCATAATAACATCTTGACATCGATACAAATCATTTTATAAATACACTTATTAGTCGATTACGCCTAAATTAAGATATAAAGCATCAATTAGTGGTAGAATCATCAAAAAATAATAAGTTTTTAATGACACTAATAAAATTACGGTTGGAATCAAAGACTTTGACATTTTATTTTTATATCAAGTAGAGAAATAATATATTGTGATTTAATATCATTTTTATGTGCTTAAAGGTATAATAAAAAGCATTTTAAGAATTTTTTGGATTTTTCTATTTCATAGAGTCTCATAATATGAGTATCTAATAGAGACATACAACATAGTATTAGAGACAGCATTGGAAACTAGCTAGCAGAACGGCAGCCTTTAGATTTAGTTAAGTTTTGATTGTCCTTTTGAATACATATTTTAATTTACAGGCAGGTACCACTTTACCTACCATTGTGTAATACAGTGCTAACACTAGTGCTCATAGTTTTCATCAGCTTTGATAATATCCTCAATTCCTTAAACAATTTTATATAGGTACAGATCACTTCGAAAAATTTAAAATTTTGATTACTTAGAAAAACATAATATACCTACATGATTTTCAAAATCATCTCCTAAAACCGTAAATTATTGAGATTTTAGCATTAATTAATCTGTAACATAAAACTAATGCCAATGAGGATCATTTCGATTTTTAGCTGTGAATGCAGATTTATAGGGCTAAGAAATCCTTAATACACAGTCCAAAAATTTTTGTTCTACGACAAAAATTGACGAAGTTATGGCCAAATTACTAAAAAAGTTCACTGACCGCCCGGCGCGGGGACGATGACGTCATTATATCCGATCCGAACGCTGCCGGCGTACTGCGTGGATAGAAAATATTTTTTTCTAGCCAAACTATCAGTTTTAGAGAAAAACTTGTAATGACATTTATTTATCAGAATAAAGTAAGCTATCGATAGGTAATTTTAAAAAATAGAAATTGTAAAAAATAACGCAAAAAATCCATACGCTCATACGATTCAATGGAACGCAGAGACGCGATTGGGGTCTCCGCGGTGGTATATTTGGCGATTTATTCAAATAAAGTGTTCTAAGTGTTGTCAGAGTCATAAATCTTCTTCCAAGTAAAATATAAAAATGTATAAGTATTAATTTATTTACTTCTAACAATAAGGTATAGCTGAGGCAGATTCACTCTCCCTAGGCTACAAGACATTGCTATGAAGATCATTTCGATGTACACGCAATACCTACCTGTTATTTAGTTTTTCTGAGTTAAACCTACGTACCTACCTATCTATTCGCCGTTCCCATGGGCGGGCCAGCTGCTGCAGGAAAGGACAGCTGCTCCCTCCTGGAAATCTATTTAATCTTAGCCTAGAAGCTGGGTATGACTCCCCCGCCCCCCTCCTCTCCCCAGGTCATAAGCTGGGCATGACTTCCCCCTCGGCCAGAAGTTGGGTATGATTTACCCCCCCCCCCCCCCAGGCCCGAAACTGGGTATGACTTGACCCCTCCTCCTCCCCCCAGGCCTTATGGCCTGGCCATAAGCTGGATATGACTCCCCCCCCTTCCCCCCAGGCCAGAAGCTGGGTAAGGCTAGCCCCTCCCCCCAGCCCATAAGCATAAGCTGGGTATGACTCTCCCTCGGCCAGAAGCTGGGTATTACACATACCCCCTCCCCCAGGCCAGAAACTGGGTATGACTTGAAAATTTTACTGATTGCATTTTTGGCATCAGTATCGATCAATAATCACCCCCTGATAGTTATTTTGAAAATATATTTCATGTACAGAATTGAACTCGCTACAGATTTATTATAAGTATAGATTATGTTCAATACAAACAATCATTAAGTTACACTCACCCCAACCGCGTCTCCGCATTGCATCGAATCCTATGAAAATGTGGTTTTTGGACATAGCGATACTGATTTTTCACAATTTTTATTTTTAAAAATTACTGGTCGATAGGTTACTTTATTTTGATGAATAAATGTTATAAAAAGTTTTTTTCTAAAACTGATAGTTTAGCTGGAAAAAAATATTTTCCATGCCAATAGTACGCCGGCTGCGCTCGATTCGGATATAATGACGTCACGCGTCCCTGCGTACGTTGACTTTTAGCGGCAAAAACGGCCTATGTTTATTACTTAATATCTTCGTAAGTAATGGTCCGATTTGGATAATTCAAAAAGATATATCTTTCTTATGTCTTAAATATTAACGTAGATACTAGTTTTATTGAATTTTCTACAACAGTACTGATCCTCATTAAATATGTGCATAGAAATGTACTGCGCCTGCGACACAGTTATAATGAATCAATTAATTTGTTGTTTATATTCAACTTGATCACAAACATCGGTGATAATATCTATCGATGCTCCGATTTATCGATCTTAATCAATAACAAGTCAGCAGGGGTGAAGCCGGGTCGAGTATTAGCATGTTTAATTAGCAATTCTAGTTTATGTATTTGCTACAGTTGATCTGGTTTCTGTCATACTTATTATACTCTTTATTATTGCTATGTTGCAGGCAAATTTCCAAATAGGACATTTATAAAAGTGACTATCATTTTTAAAAACACTAACTTTAGATAGGTCCTACAGTGATAACTCAATGATGATGACTAATGTTTATTTATGGATCAATTATGTAAATTTAATTTTATTATGATTGTTTGTATAACATTTAAAATATAACCAATTTATTGAAAGAAAGAAAGATTATTATTGCAATCCATCTTCATTAAAATTTCGTGCTAAACCGAGCCTAATACCATAAATCAACTAAAACACACCAAACAATATAATTAGGAGAGTATTTTATTCAAATTGGGCTCAATAAATTATGCATACGACTATGGCTCCCGTATTACTGATATTTATAATATAATCGGCACAATATAGTCACTTGTGGTAAAATCATAATCGTAGTGCGTAGGCGCTTTACATTCTACAAGCTGATTATGGAAATACAATGCTTATAAGGTAAAATATTGATCAGAGTTCATGAATAACAAAGAAACAGCAATGTAAGTGAGGTTATGCTGTTGTATTCACCTTTGAGAATAGAATAGGTATTGAGCACGTGCCTCTAGGTGTGACCTGATCACCTGAGTCATCTTTTAGTTAGGAATAAGTATTTTCTAGATATTTGTTTATATTGCTTTCAGTTGCTGAAGAGAATAATGTCCATCTTGCTGATAGCCTTATTTAAGCCTCAGGATATCCACTGCTGAATATAGTCCTCCCCCAATGAAAAATAATTGACTTTTTTAGGGAAAAAATATTCATAGATTTAAAGTTTTCAAGTTTGGTGTGCTATTTTTGTTGACTCTACTTATTGTGTAAAACGTAAATAATTTGCGCAGAAAGAGTTTTTCTAGTTCGTCTGTCTCATTTGTAGGAAGTTTCCCAAAATTCTTTGACCCAACTTGTGCTGCAACTTACAAAATTATGTTGTTTACTTAAAACAACGTATTTCCTATTTTTAAATCTTACAACTCTTTTAAAAACAGCCTTTTAATATGCCCAGTCTGTGTCACTTACTTAAGTGACAATGTAAGTTACATATCTGTCGCATTCTTTATGTAAATATTGGTCACATAATGTATACGTTCGTTTTTGTGAACTGACAGTTTATATTGGAATTTGACTTTTATACCTTACCTTTCGATGCTTTAAGTGACTCTGGGGGCGTTAGAAGTTCCTAGAGCTTAGCTGAACGACTATGCAAATCCAACATTAATATATAGCAGCTCTACATTGACAAATTAGTATAATTTAATTTTATTAGGTTGCAATCATGTTAATGATTGCGTTGATTATATTGATAGTCATGATTTAAGATAATAATTTTATAGTGAATCAAATTAAATGATACGATACAAACTGTGTAAAAGGTAGTGACTTAAACCTTGCTAAGATGGTAGGATCTTCTTGATAGTACTATTTTAAAAGAAATCAAATGCATAAAATGTACTAAATTGTTAAAAGTGATACTTTGTTTGTAACAACCGGGAATTTTATCAACGAATGTTTTCTAGTTTACCTTATATGTTGGAACTTTTATAAGACATCATCAGCATCATTTCAGCCATAGGACGACATGATTTCCACAATGGCCGGTTGGCGGCGGCCTGCATCCAGGACACATAGGTACTCGTAGTATGCAGAACTGACGGCCGATGGGGCAGCAAGATTCTGGAGTGGAGGCCGAGTACCAGAAAGCGCAGCGTAGGACCACGTAAGCGTTGTTAGGTGGACTGACGACCTCATAAAGGTAGCACAAAGAAAGTTTAATGTATGAAAAATCATTACTTCAGGCCTGATTCGTAGTGGTATTCTGA